AGCCCTTGGCACTGGGCAAAGGTAAAACACAGCAGTGGCAGGGCTGCACCGGGGTTGCAGCAGGGAGGGGCGGCTGATGGCTAAACCCCCCTTTGGGAGGAACCGAGGTGAAGCGATTGCTGTGGCACCGGAGGGAGGAAAGGGCTCACTGGCCTGGGGCAGCACGAAAAGGTTTTGGCATCTGCGTGGTGCAGCCTGAGCAGGTCTTGCTCCTCAGTGGGAGATGTTCTTCCTTGGCTTGGCTCGGGTGGCCCCGTATGTGGGACCCCGTCGTTACTCACGTGTGTGTCCCCATGTGTTCTGGCAGACAGAAACTGTACGTGACCCTTCTGGTCATTGCAGGGAGCATTCCCGTGCTACGCAGTACTGCGTCAGCCCTTCCCTGCGGATGTTCAAGCTCGTTACCGGTGTTGTCAGGAGCGTGGTCCCCATCCCCTTTTCACCAGGGCCCCAGGTGGGGCACAGAGAAAGCAGGAGACACTTCTTCCAGAAGCAGCAGAGGCAGGACTGGAGCTTCAGCACTTGCATTGTGTTGAGCATCATCCCTGTGTTCTCTGGAAGGATTTCTTTAGAAACACCATTCTTGTCACATAATCTCTTGTTGCTCCTCTCTTGCTCTTCAAAAGCCAAAGGGAAATTTTAAAAGATGGCAAGGCTGCTCCTAGGTTTCTCTTGCCAAACTGCAGAGAGGATGTTTGAATTGTGCTCGGGCTCTGCCGTGCTGCCAGCTCAGCCCTGCAGAGCCTGTGTTTGGGGGCCTAGAGGGACCCTGAGCTCTGGAAAATGGTCTCTTGTGTGGGGGGACATATTTCAAAGAGCACCTAGTTTAGTCTGTCTTGATTTAATTTTCAAGCTGTGTTAAGGTGATGGGATCAGCTCCTGAGCAGATCCTGAAGCTGGAAAATACCAGCTGAGTGCGTGAATCTTACAGACGTGCCTGCAGCAGTGTGCAATCCATCTGTTTATCTGGTCCTCTCAAAAAAAACAGGGCTTTTGAGAGCGTTTTATTAAAGTGCATGTTCATCACAGGCCACCCTCCATGTGTTGAACCCGTGGCACAGACCTCCCATCACCAGCCTGTTGCAAGAATAGCTGCAGCTTCTGGAGGGAAAGAAACAGGAGAAGGCTTCCACTTCCACCACGGACACGCGTCGGGAGGAAGCCTGGCTTCTTTAACTCGGCACTTGTTGAGTTCCCTGCTGCTGTGGTTTTGTTCGGTGTGTGCCACGTTATGGGGGCTAGTGCTCAGCTTTCTGCCTGGCCCGCGTCCAGAAGCCACGCGGGGGAACCGCCCCCGGGGAGTGGGAGGAAGGCCGCCGGGTGAGCCGGACGGGCAGGGGGAGAGCCAGTTCCCCGCCTGACAGTTACGATTTTGGCAGCTCGGTTTTGACAGAACGACCTCTTCCATCATGGCAGAATGTGAACTGATACTCGGTGTGACGTACCCGCCCAGCACCCCATCACCCTCCTCATCATGATGCTGGTGAGATCCCAGGGGATCTTGGTGCAGGACGCACCGTGAAGGCATGGCCAGCCCTAGGAGAAGCAGCATTTGGAGAACGCCAGGCACCCCACCAGGCAGGGGAAGGGATGCCAGGGAAAGGCGGTGGGAATGTCAGCTGTGCCGGAGCTGGCCAGCCTTGGCAGCTGGCAGGTTTTGTGCAGGAGGTCCCTGTCCCCTGAAATGCATTGTCTGCCCCTGGGACTGCTGGGCTGGGCTGGCCTTCCTGGGATGCAGACAGGGAGCTGGAAGGATTCTGTTGGAGAAGCCATTTAATGTTGAGGCACTTAATGCGAAGGCGTTTAATTTAAGGCACTGACTGCTTGCTATCTGGCAGCTGCGGCTCCACATTTGTGATGAAGATAGGCACAGTGAGCTACTGTGAGGTGCTCTGCCCCGCAGGAAATCTCCAGCTGCTGAGCAGAGGAGGGAACTTTACCTCTGGGCAGGCAAGGAAACCACAACTGAGCTTATTGCATCTTCCACAGCTGGTGCTGGTGGAAGTGGGGCAGAGGGGCTGAGCCGGAGGGGAATTACCTGGCTGGTGGTGGTGGTTCCTGTACGCCAGCCCCGCCAATGTGGCTCCCAGACGTGGAAAAAAACCCGCACCCATCCTCAGCCTCGCTGGTTCAGCCATGGCTCGGAGCCCTTCAGCGCTGGGACAATGACAGCGGTCACTGGGGGACGGTTCCACTTCAGCCAGGTTTGGTCTGTACGCTGTTTCTGCCTGCTGAGGAACACGAAAAAGCCCCAGACCAGTGAAACCCTATCTCTCAGAGTATCTCTGAGTCTGACATCCCGGGAGGGTAACTTGCCTCTTGGGATCAGCCTTTTAAATCAGGTTGGCGGCAGACACCCCTGTGATGGCTTGAGAACAAAGACTTCTTCCTCGCAGAGTAAACAGCACTCAAACCGAGCTCCTCAAAATATGTGTTCGTCTAAATTTTTAATGCCATTTTCATCTAACTTGCTCATCCTGTTTCGGAAGGGCTGGGCCTCATAATTAAAAGCTCCAGCAATCTTATGTCTGGCAAATGTCATCAATGGTTTCACTATGCCGTGCCCTGCTCCTCTGAACAGTGGGAAAGGTTTGGAAAGGAGCTCTGAAACAAGTTCAGAAATTTATGTGTATCATCAGATGTGTATATTTGCCCTGTTGCTGACTATCAGCGAGCATTGTCCCTCTCTGCTGATTTGTGTTTTTAATCTCAGTGCTGGTTAGGGAGCAGAGCACTCACCACAGTTTATAACACGTGTACGTAACACACGGGTTTATGGAGCCTGAGGAGGAGGCTGCTGTACTCGGTGTGGCCCAGCAGACTGTCCCAAACCCGCACCGTGCTGTGGGGTTAGGCAGCCGTCACCTCATTAACACCTTCATCAGAACCATTTCTGGGGGCTGTTTTCTGCACAGGTCAGGCCAGGGATGCAGCTTCATGGCGCAGCATCACCAATGGTTGTAGGGCCGTAGCTAAGGGGGTGGTGATCTTGGTGGGGTCAGACACCTCGGGGCAGGAACACCTTCTGCAAGCTTTACTAGTGCCTCCTGAATCTACACGCTTGGTCTCTAGCTGTGCTAATGTTTTGTATTTTGTTTGTAGTGAGCACCACGAGGATGGAAGGTAAAGCGCAAGGGCTGCAACTTGGAGTTAATGTGTGGGACCCCCTCTGCGGTACCACCTACATTCAGGTAAAAACCACTTCCACGTTGCGATATTTCCTTTAAAACCTGTCAGATGTTCTACTGCCAGACCTTTGCATAAGGCAGGTGTAAATACGAGGAAAAGTTTGTGCTTTTGTTTGTAGGCATACAGAAGGGGTTTTGCTCGGTATGCGTTCGTCATGAACGGGTAGGTACAGCCAGGTGTGTTTGTCACTCCTCGTAACAGTATGTGATGAGTACATTCCATTATGCCAAGCAAATCTGGAAGTACAAACGAGTGGGTGTTTGATTCACGCAGGTTAAGCACAGAAACATTTGGTCATTCGGTTTCCTGGCTGCTCCTTAGCACCCAGCTCTGCTGTTCTTATGTTGTCTCCATGGGTGCAGCCTTG